GCTGCCGCTGCCCGGGAAGGGGCCCGTGGGACGGGGACGCCTCCGCTTGTGCCCCGCTCCCGCATCCTCCCCGATGGCCGCTGCTAGAGCCTTCACCTCCGCCTCCCCACACACCCACCTCCCCCAGTTCCGACGCCCGCGCGTCGATGTGCTCTGCCTCCCTCGCCGCAGCCTCTTCCTCCGGGTGTGCATGTCCGGCCAGGGGAGACTGCCGGCTGCGCTCTCCTCAGCACCGCCCCATGCGCGGTAACTCTACAGGAAAAAACAGGACTATGTAGCACTTTAAAGACTAACAAGATGGATACAGGCATCTATAGGCAAAGGCACCGTGTAATTTACCAGGCCTTGGAAAATGAGAGATTGAAATTTTATTACATTTTAATGAGGTTGCTTTCCCCTGCATCCTCCACAAAGGTTTTACTGGTTTGTTACTGGAGTCCCTGCCTGGTGTCAGCTTAGTGTGGAGGTAGAGCTATATTTGCAGATCTTCTGCTTGCATGGAAAACATGAAATAAATCACACATCAATTAAATATCCATATTAACCATCTGCTTCGCCCTCCCCATCTGTGTTTTCAGCAAGTTATTCGATTTTGAATGGAAGTCAAAGCTTTTCCTTTAAATAATATCTAATTATCTGAATCCTTGAATGGTGCCTCAATTTAATGTCCATAACAAGATTACTTATCTGATACTGCATTGTTTTGTGTTAACTGCTGGATTGCAGAATTGCTGAATTAATTGAGCTAGAAAAATGAGACAGGAAATCCATACAGAAGAATGACATTTTGATAGAGCTTAGTGAAATATGTTGGAAACTGCTTATATTAAATGGAGTTTGGTCATTGGGTCTAAATATTAACTCAGAAAACTAGAACATAGTTGTAGTATAATACTGATGAATAACTTACTCTTGGCGAGTTATACTCTCTCAAAAATATAATACATTTGGCCAGTGTTTCTCAAGAGTCTTCCTGTGACTTTCAGAATTAATTCTAACCCTCTCTTTTACATAATTCTATCTTCTTTGCTCTTATCAGTTCCAAAAAGTTGCGTGTAGTAATACAAGTTGGTATGTCCACTAACTGCTCTTCTGTTTTGTGTGGGATCTGTACATTGATTGAGTAGTGGCTTGCTTAAACTTTGTATACATTATAGAAGTGTGTGTATACTCTTTTTGCACAAACAAAATAAAGAATAAAAATGCAAACTGTGGTCTTAGATGTGCACTGTTGGGCAAGCAAGTTAAGGAAGCAATTATGATTTAAACATAGTTAATATGGTTTGTACCCACACACTAACTCTTTTGAGGCACATTGCATAATAGTAGATAAGCCTTCCTAGAAGTTTTCATCTTCTGTTAAACCAGTTTCAGCAAAACTGTTTTATGGTAACATGTAAAGGGCTAATCACAGTACTGTTAGTCCTTTGTCTCAGTCAATCCACAGCACAACATCAACTGCATAAGTATGATGATTACATCGAAATCAGAGAGTAAATATGAAGATTTGGTGCAATCACACATTCAGATAAATGCACCTATATTTGTTACATTTATTTTTAAAAGAATATAATGTATTCACTCGCATGAAACACACAGAGTTCTTATTTGGACAGCGATGAATAGAAAGATCTATTAAAAAGTTCCAAATGTATGTGTAACTATCCACGACAGCATACTCTTCAACCAGGGAAGTAGTTTGCTACGAAGAGAAAAAACAGCACATGTTTTGGCAATTTATTTTCTGTCTCTGCTATTCCATGATACATGTAATTAGTGCTTTTTTTTGTGATGGTACTAACTCCAGACACAGTACCGGCACCTCCAGTCAGCGCTTACCTGGAAAGAACAGAGTGTACCGGCACCTCTGTATGCAAATGTTCCACCCTGGCTTTTTTTCCCCCCCCCTCAAAAACTTTTCCCCTGGAGTTCTAGCACCCCCCCTTTTTTGACCAAAAAAAGCACTGCATGTAATAAACTGGTGCAAGCTTATGCTTTCATAAGAATCTAATCCCTTTTCCTGCAGAAAAGTCTTAATGCTAATTAGTAACTCCAGAGAGTTGTCAATGGTGAAAGGGCATTTTCCACCAAAAATGAAATTAAACATTCTGTTTATAAGTTGAAAGAGACTAAAATGGTCATTACAGGTAGAAAATACTTCCAGTGTTTACATGCTAGATCTTGGCTTCAGAGTGGAGACTAGGAAATTTAAGTTAGTTAGAGTCAGCTGTTGGAATGATAAGAACAGCCATACTGGGTTAAACCAAAGGTCCATGAAGCCCAGTATCCTGTCTTCCAACAGTGGCCAATGCCAGATGCCCCAGAGGAAGTAAACAGAACAGGTAATTGTCAAATTATCGCTCCCCTGTCACCTGTTCCCAGTCTCTGGCAAACAGCAAGGGCACAATTCCTACCCATCCTGGCTAACAAGTATTGATGGACCTATTCTCCATAAATGTATCTAGTTCTTTTTTGAACCCTGTTGAAGTCCTGGTCTTCACAACATCCTCTGGCAAGGAGTTTTACAGGTTGACTGTATACCGCGTGAAGAAATGTTTTAAACCTTGTTTGTTTTAAACCTGCTATCTATTAATTTCATTTAGTGACCCCCTAGTTCTTATGTTATGGGAAGAAGTAAATAATTTCCTTATTCATTTTCTTCATACCCATCATGATTTTGTAGACCTCTATCACACACCCCCTTAGTCTCCTCTTTTCTAAGCTGTTTCCCCCATGCTGCTGCTTGCCCCAGCATCCAGAACTATGTTTTTACCATTTCCTTTCCTTTCTTCACATATGTGCTTTCACACACCTCTTAAAGTCTCAAAGAACAGAGTTCTCATCTTACAGACATTAGAAAACTTGCAAATATGGGGAGTGTAACAGTCTAAATGGTTAACTGATAAGCCTGCGCATATTGGTTACTGTTAACAGTTACATGCAGACTCCTGCCTCAGTACCGGGGAGCTGTCTGCCACCATGCACTGCTGCCTCTGTTACAGAGGCAGCAGTGCCAGTATTATGCACCGGGAGCCAGCTTTTAAGCTAGCTCTCAGTGTGCACTGGCTCCTGCCTGTGTAACCCACGTACCTAGTGTGGTTACAGTAATTACTCTTTTAACATTATACACATTACCACTGGTTTCACCAACTTTATACTGCCACAAGAAGTAGTCCGCCACTTGATTATTTTCGTGTTATTTCAGGGAATGGTCTTGTTGTTCAAAAAAGTTCCCTAAAAAAAATCGTGCTATTGCAAAAACGTGTAAAGCGGGCACTTGTTAAATGAGTGATTACTGTACTGAGCAGTGCAAGTGGTACCTAGATCACAGTAACAGTTAAGATCAAGAGACTTCTACAGCATGGGCTGGGAGCCAGCTGGCTTTTAGCTCAGAGGGTAGAGATTCCTATACTCCACTTCAGAGGTCCCAGGTTCAAATCTGCCCAGTGGCAGTTACACCTGCAGTCTCGCTCGCAGGGAGCTGATTGCCACCCTGTGCTGCTGCCTCTGTGTCAGTGGCAGCAGCATGGGGACAGTAGCTGGGAGCTGGTATGTGCCAGGAGGTGACATTTAAGCTGGTTCCTGGCACTCACCCATTCCTGCCAGTAGCCCTGCTTCCTGGGAGCTAGCTTTCACCTGGCATTGCTGCCTTTACATCAGAAACAGCAGCTCAGGGGCAGCTCCCAGGAGCCAGTGCATGCTTCTAGGAGCTGGCTTTTAAGACCACTCCCATCTCCACTCCCAGTGAGCCAGTTGCTACCCCACACTGTTGACTCTGGTACACAGCCAGCAGTGTGTGGCGGCAGCTGGCTTCCTGGGAGTGCAGTGGGAGCCTGCATGTAACTGTTAACTGTAACCTATAAGCCCAGACTTATTGATTAACCATTTAAACAGTTTACTTTTATATCCGTAATTTGAAAATGTAAAAAACACCCACAAATATATAAACAGTATTAATTATATGACTGTACAATTCGATTAATCATTTGACAGCTCTAATTTATAGTTCACCATGCATCACATTATAGCTTTATTAAGTCCTGCTCTTACAAGCCAGATTATCTCCTCCTTCCTTTTCACAGGAAAAGGAGGAATTCAGGAACTTCCCAGGAGTTGGAATTTTTACAATAAATTTTGAAATGGACCAATATGAAGATGTGTCAGAGGGTGAAGTGGACCACTCTTTCTTTGACAGTGATTTTGAGGAACAGCCGAAGAAAGAAGAAAATCCTGTTGCAGCTGATGGTGAAGAATGTAGTGAACCCACAGAAAAAGGAGGCATACACATAGATCAATCAGACTATGAAACAGAAACAAAACTGAGAAAGGAACAGAATGCTGAGGAGGAAAGTGAGGAGAAAAAGAGAGAGTCACTGAAGGAAAATTCCATAAATAGTGGTACTGACCATAGTGGAACTGCTTCGTCTCAATCAGTTTTTTTAAGTTCAGAGAATGCAAGTACCTCTGGTAGAAATCCTGTGTTAAATAGAAGAATACATGTAAACATTCCAGCTGGGATCCCCAAAATAGTTAGAGAAGGTGAGGAAGATTATTATACAGATGAAGAAGACAGTAGTGATGATGGCAAAAAACAAAGAGTTAGACCTAAATCAGCTAAGCAGGCCAGTGGCATAAAGAGAGTTAACAAAAAGTATACCAATATTAGCTCATCTTCCTCATCTTCCTCCTCTTCAAGTTCAGAAACAGATGGTTCAGATATGGATTCTGATAGCTGCATATCAGATTCATCACACTCTTCCTCAAAGAGAAGTATATGCAGCTTGGGTCTTCTGTCTCCAAGACAAAAATTCAGGCCAGGAATAAAGTCGGTGGAAGTAAAACCAAAACTTGGTGAATATGCAGAGGAGTCTGAAGATACAGTGACTGATGTAACACCTCTGTCAACACCAGACATCAGTCCCATCCAGTCTTTTGAACTTGCAGCATCAAATGATAAGAAACTGAAAGTAAAAAGACAGGAAAACGTGAGCCAAGAATTATATGGTAATTTTGAGGAATTTAGGTACAATACAAAATTATAAAGACAGGCTGGAAAATTGAGACCTCGTCTTACATCTGTATCTTTCTCACTAGATGCTGAGTTTGATCGCAAATATAATCAAAAGGTTTTGCATGATGCTGTGGACCTGAATCAGCTTTTGAAAGGTGATTTTTTTTCTTAAAATTTTTGCAAATTTATTTACAAAGTATGAGTTTTTCTGTGTCGAAGAGCTATGGCATTGAGCAGTGAAGTAGAAATTAAGGGGTTTTGTGTGTGCTGCTTTTTCTTTTAAAATTGGCTGCAGATCAAGTTGCATCAGTTTCAGAGATGCCTTATGGCAGTGGTCCCCAACCATTTGGAGCTGCCGGGCGCCAGGCTGTGGGGACACTCACGTACCCGGGGGTGGGGCCAAACTTACGCCACACCCCCATGAGCCATGTGCTTAGGGCCAGCAACCCCATGCGCCATGTGGCCATGTGCGGGGCCGCCCATTCGCTGCAAGCCTGGGGCTGGCGCCCCCCATAGCCGCGCACCCAGAGCCTGCATCCCCCATAGCTGCGCACCCGGGCGCAGGGTGGCCAATTTGCCGCATGCCCGGGGCTAGAGCCTCCCATAGCCATGCGCCCTGGGCCGGTGCTCCCCATGCACCCGGGGCTGGTGCCGCGTATGTGTAGCGTGCTTGGGGCCAGCACCGCGCATGAACCACATGCCTGGGGCGGGGCCAGCCCCAAGCACTTGGCAGGTGCACAGAAATGCCCCTGGCGCCTGTAGGCACCATGTTGGGAGCCACTGCCTTATGGCTTTGCTTGTGTGTGTGATAGCACATCAGGCTACCAGTGGACTAATGGAAGAAGTCCTTTAACAAACTCTTCTGAGTAAGGGAATAAGTAGCGATGAGACAAATCCCCAAATAGGATCGATTGGTTCACAAATCCATTAACATTGTACTTTGATTTGTCAAATAACTCAAATAGCAAATGCTGTAAATTTTCTTTTAAAGATACCACACTTTTAATGTGGCAAATTGATCAAATTATGGACATTCTCAACTTTAAAATGCAACTCAGAATTTCACACAGCTATAAATAGCAAATATTTTACAAATACATTTTAACTACTGGTGTTCTGATGACTAATCTGATCAAATTACATTTCCTTTTAAATGTTAATATTTTTAATAACAACAAAAAACATATTTATATTGCCTTTGGCAAGAAGTTTTCATTTAAGCTTAAATTTCTCCTCCCCAGTAATTTTAGGAAATGCCTTTTATTATTGGTGAGGAGCCTAATGTTCTATTTGCTGTCCTAATCCTCAGCATTCCCAATTAATATCGTAGCATCGGATAATCTAGTTTGTATATACTCATTGCCTGGAGCTGTGCACCTGCTTTACCCAGTGGTTCCAGCCAGTCACTCATGATTGACTTGTAGACCATTGAGGCTCTGTCAGTTGATCTCTTCAGTCCCACATCTCTCCTTTCCCCCTTTGTTTTTCAGTAGCAGACACAGCTTTAACAAAGGGACCGCTGAACTCAGGAATACAGGCTGCAGTAGCCCCAGGCTGATTTGCTTGATGCTTTCTCAGCAGGGATTGTTGTCTTTTCTTTGAAAGGTGCTTAAAGGGACAGGAGGGTAGTGAGAGGAAAATCCACTCACTTCTGCAGGTGTTCAGCAAGGAGAGTGTAGGTTGGGAATGGTTATTACGTAGACAGCTACATGCATGTGTTTGTACAAGTTGAACGTCTCTAGTCTGACACTCTGGTCTGGCAACATCCATGGGTTCAGCATGTTTTTAGTTAGTTGGATGTCCACCTACCATGGGTGTAGTCAGGTCCCATAAAGTTTGTTACAGCCATCAGTCCTGTTCTTGGTGTTCTGTGCTGTTATTTGGCTCTAATTTACCCCTATATGTCTTCGATGAACCCAAAAAGCAGTGGAAGTGTTGGTAGTGCTGCTAGCCCATATTGATCTCCTATGGTTCTGCAAATTCTTTGGTTCAGCGCAGGTACAGGTTCTGAGGGTGCTGAATTAGAGATCTTCAACCTGTACCATGATGAGCTATATATGAGGCCACCACAACCAGACTTTTTATCAGCATATCCTCAGCAAAATAAGCTATGTAATCAAACTGCACATTTGCCTCCCACTCCCAGCCACGTTCCTATTCCTCTGTTCCATATGATTCCTGCTTTCCTTTCATTCCCAGCACTCACTTTGCCTGCTCTCCTTCCTCTTCTCTAGGAGCCTGGCTCCCCATCTCCCATTCACAGTAATCTACCTTCCCTTTGCTGACCCTACCCGCCATCAAACTTCTCCCTCTCCCCTTCTCCCCACCCTCTCCCCAAGCAGAGCTTCAGCTGTTTTTTTTTTTTTCCTCGTGGAGTGGTGTGGATAGACAACAGCCACAATGTACTCTGAACCTCCCCCAGCATGACAAACTAGGAAACCCCTCCCTTCTCCTTTTATGGAGCTCTAGGAGAGAACAGCACTGTGATCACAAAGTGGTGTCAAAGCTGTTCACATTTCTCCAGTAGGTTGAAGGGCCATTGCAATGACCATGCAGAGTAAGTGAGGGGCTAGATAACCAGGTCTCATCTGAGCTTATTCAGGGATTGGAAGACACACTGATTTCATAGACCAGTCGTTCCCAACCACCATTCCATGGATTGGTGGTGGGCCATGGCACTCTATCAGGCCACGTCTCCAGCTGCTAATGAGCCCCATCCACTGGGGAACACAGTTCCCAAAGTGTGCGCCTTTGCATCCTCTAAAAATTCTCCTCCCATGGTGAGTGGCAGTGCGGGCTACCCCATGTGCTGTGGCTGGAGCCAGCCATGAACAGCCTCATCATGGTCCTGGTTCCACCTCTGGCAGCAGCCACATAGCCCGACCGGCGGAACTGTGTGGTGGATGGCTGCTCCAAAGGCAGCCAGCCTGCGTGGCGGAGTAGGGCTGCTCTGGGGCGGCTGGGCCATGTGGTGAAACAGGGCTGCTCCAGGGGTGGCTGTGCCACATGGTGGAGCAGGGCTGCTCTGGGGGCAGCTGGGTCGCATGGCAGAGCAGGGCCGCCTGGCTATGTTGAGCCCTGGGAGCTGGCTCCAGGACTCCTTTGCGGGGCGGCCGGGGTTGAACAGGGGCCGCCACTGCCAAGGCAGGTTGAGTGGAGTGAAGAGGCAAGACAGGAGAAGCTCTCTGAGCTGGAGTCAGCACCTCACTGCTTACATCTCAGCCTCTCCCTGGCTTAGTCTCCCTCTTCCTTTTCTTTCCCTCCTTCTTCCTCTTGGCCACCACCCCCCTTCTCCTGCCCTATCTGCTGTACCCTTTTGCCTCTCTCCAAAAATAAGTGAAAACCAGAACTATTCTGCAAAGCATGCCATCTGTTTCACAATGTATTATTTTGATCTTCCCATCCATACAATGACCTGTATTGTGTGCATACATATTCAGTGTAAAACAACATGTGATTGCTTTAAATTACCATAATGAATATGCAAATATTTCAGTGCTGGTCTGCCAAAAGTTTTTGAATGAGTTTGCCTGTCTGTGGTATAAAAAAAGGTTGGGAACTACTGTCATAGACAACTTCATCATTTGCTAGAAGCACCTTCTCCTGCCCCCTTACCTTTGGGTTACTACTGCCCCTTCCCCATACTCTTGGCCCTCTGTGTCCGGCTGCCTCTCATCCACTTATCCCTCAGTTTTTGCTACTCCTATCCTCCCCCCTTCTCTTGGGACCTCCTCCTGTCTTCCCCCTGCCCTTTTTTCCTTTTGCTGTTGATTCCTCCGACCCTTTGCTGTCCCCACCGTTGATTAGCCGCCTCCTGATGCTACCATCCCTGGCCACTGCCTCCTCTCCTTCTGACTACACTGTGATCTTGTTTGGGAAGACTGCTGATGGTTGGGGGGCTAAATGGGTATCTGATGAGAGAGATTTGGTCCAGCTGCTGTGGCAAGTGGTGGATCTGGCCAGCAAGAAGGTATTTTGTGAGTATAGCCCCCACAGCCTCAGGAAGAGAAGCGAGGCTGCTTGCATAGAGTGTCTCTTTGCATTCAGCAGAGAGATCCAGGATGAGAGAGGAGCCGGGGATTATAACCAATTGACTAACCAGCTGCCAGGAGAAGTTGGGGCTGCTGCCTGAGAGCATTGAGGAGAAGGTGCTGCCTCGGCTAGGAGCACAGATGGAGTTAGGCAACAGCCCAGACCACCCCATTACAGGGCTTGTGATCAAGCAAATTCCACCAAGCCAATGGCATGCCCACCCATACAGACATTTCCCTTGGGTCTTCAGCCTGAGAGGAAGCCATCCTGCATGCTAGGGAGCAATGACTGGGCAAAGCCCTGCTTCCCACAAGCATTTTGGTGGGGGGGCGCATTCCTTGGCCTTGGGTCTTGCTCAGCACCCACATCCCCACCTGATCCCAACACTTTGCCAGAGCATGGAGCCCTCTCCCAGAGACAGTACCCTGTGCCACCTTCTATACCCCAACACTCTGTCCCAGCCAGGAGCCCTCTCCTGCACCCAAATTCCTTTCCAGAGCTTGCAAGATCTCTTGGTCCTGGCCCAGAGCCTGCACCCCCTGTTCAGCCCAGTGAAAGTGAGTGAGGATGGGGGAGAGCAAGTGATGGGAAGCGGGGGAATGGAGTGAGCAGGGGTGGAATAGATCCTGTGTTTCCCTGACATTTAAAAAGTTATCTTGGGCATAAAAAGGTTGGAGACTACTGCTGTAGTACAAAAGGAGAAAAGCTATGTAAAGAGCATGACATTCAAGCAGTAGACTTTGTTGAAACAAACAGCTGTATCTAATGGTAAGTGAAGCGGATGGTTTGGCTTGTATGTACTGTAATGGACTACACTGTAAAATAACTTATATGGTTTAAGTGACTGTTTCAGTTTGAGGATATAGAACATGAATACTGGTCCAAATTTATAGCCGCTCACAAGGATTTTCCTCATGCAGTGTGCCATTAGTATGTATTTCTATGAAAAGGCAGACCATTACATATGATTATAGTATGGGAAATATCGATTTATTTTTTTTAAACAAATTCAAAGCACATTTAGCTAGTAGAATAAATCTTTCCATCTCTCACATCTGTAATGCTTTTTGCTATAGGAACACAATTTTCAATGTGTAAGTAGTCAAATGTATATAGTTGGGAT